TAAAAGAATAAATGAATGAATGATTATCAAAAAAAAATTTGTGTCATTGGAATCTCTAAAAAAGATGAGAAAGAGTACAGTGCTGAAAAAGTGATAAAAAAAATAAAAGAATATCTTTATGACTTAGGAGTAGGCAAAAAGTTCTTAGGTCACAGATGGCAATAACCATAAAAAATTAATCAAGTAGATTTCAAATTTTAAAACTTCTGCTCACCAAAGACACCATTAAGAAAATAAATAAGCAAAATACAGACTGGGAGAAAATACAGAACACGTATCTGTGAAAAGATTGGTATCCAGGATACACAAGAACTCCTAAAACTCAATTAAAAAAAGACTATCCAATAAAAAAATGGACAAAATATTTAAACAAATACTTTACAAAGGAAGATATAAAAATGGCCAATAAGCATGTGAAAAGTGCTCAGTATCACCTGTCATTAGGAAAATGCAAATAAACACCATAATGAAATATACTACATGTCTATTGAGATGATTAAAATATTTCTTAATATCTGATTTTGTAATAATTCTGGTCTGCCAACTTATATGATTTTGTCCAACATTGTTATGCAATTCCAGTTATAGGAGTGGAGAAAACAGATGTTTGGATTTAAACAAATGGGATGGAAGGGCAAGAGCCTTAAATATATTGCCCAGAGAGTGGTCAAACTCATTGATCATGGGTTCTAGACTAGATAGGGAAGGAAATAAGTATGGGAGAGAGCTGGGAAATTGCAGGGGAAAATTCAGGGTCAAGGAATTTGATGCATTGATTAAGTGAACATCTGAGAACGTTGATTGTGCCTTCATTAGTCCATTTTGTTATCCCAGAGAGGATACAACTTCTATTCCACATAACAATCAAGAAGATAATTATAAAAAAAGTTTAATACCTTCAATGCTGTATATTTGTACTTTTTCCTCAGGCACAGTAACTGCTTCCCACTGATGATCCTTAAATTTAAAAACAGGTTTTGGCCATAAATAAATAATGATTTATTCATGATTTAAAGCCTCTTTTAGCACCAATTTTTATGCTATTCAAACTATAAAGTTTTTTTTAACCAAATATCACTAAGTAAACAATTTATATAACACTTTTGCCCCATCAACTATGTATTATACATGTTACATTTAATCTACTTGTTCACTCCTAAAAGGAAATGATGGTGTTGACAGTTTCCTATTCTTAGCCAAAAAAAGAATGACTATCCATTAATATTTATTAGAAGATATCCTTTTTTAAAATGTTACCAAATCCTTTTGTTTTTCCTTTGAAATATTTTGTGAAATCCTACTCATTCCTCAGTTCCCACTACTACTACCTATTCCACATCCTGTAACCACAATACTCGTTGATTGTCCTTTTATCAAGCATTGAATGTACATGAATAACAACCTAAAATGTTTCCCTTCTAAGTACTTTCATTAAAAATTTGTATAACTGAATAAAATGGTATTGAATTTACGAAGTTATAGTAGAAAATAGATACCATTCCTAAAAAATGGGACTCTAAAGCTTTCCCCAAAGCTGTGAGCAGCTCATATTTCTGTGTATAAAAAACTTGCTCCCTTTGTCAAAGATTAGATTGCCATATGCAGATGGTTTCATCTCTGGATTCTCAGTCCTGTTCCAGAGGTCAATGTC